AATGTTGGCATGTATGATCAGACAGTCGTAGAGACATGAAAAAAATTAATAGGGTGAGTTTATTGTGTTTTATTTGATAGGAAATGTATCGTTAGGTTGGTCTTGCAATCTAGTAGCTATCACGGCCTTGGCATTTAATTTACTACTAAAGTACTAGGCTAGCAGACGATCATTTAATCATAACACTTCGTTAGAAATGACTTCAGAAAAACGAGAGCGTCAGCCAAACTGGGCCCCTCGCGAAGAAATATTATGTGTGTCTGCCTATATAGAAAGGGCAGATATTATTGAACGGGAATTCAGTGGGTGTGGTGTAGCAGGCAGTAGGGGTATTTCTCATGCCACCAAAGAGGAGGCATGGAATGCCATCAAAGAAATTGTTAACAGGTGAGTGTTTGACTTGCGAATAAGTATTATATTCCAAATACATGTAGATCTATACTAGGCCTATAGATCTAAAAATCAGACTCTAATCAATGCATGTTTATATAGCTCTCGGCATTCATTGTTGTATTAAAAAGTTCACTTTATCTGGATCAACAATAGCAAATTATTAGAATTGGGTTTTTTAATTCACATGTCTAAAATTACAGTTATGAGATGCTTAACATCTAGAATCTAGGCCTACATAAGCCCTCTAAGTCAAGTCTGCAAATCATGAATTTTTATGAGCCTGCATAATAAATTATTAGGGTTGTGATACCCATACAAGTTGTAGGACTAGAAATGAAAATCATCTTGATATTCTGAATGATATTCTTAATTTTTTTTTCAGTAACTCTGCAAATCTGAGAACTGTTGAACATCTTCTTTGAGTGGCATTTAGCTATTGACATACGTAATACAAAAACATAGTATGGAACACAATTACTATTTTATTTAAAGCGACGTTTCGTTGAGGGTTCTCTCAACGTTTCAATTTGCTTGAAAACGTTGAGAGAACCCTCAACGAAACGTCGCTTTAAATAAAATAGTAATTGTGTTCCATATTATGTTTTTGTATTATTATTATTAACTGTTGAACAGTTAAAAAAAAAAAGATCGCCCAGATAAAATGCTTAGGTAATCCATTGTGTATTATTAGTAACTTTTAGCCTTTGAAGTACGTTTTGAATGACGCATAAAACTGAGTTGTATTATAAGGTCCATGGTGTTATTAGTTCGATTTTTCTTTATATCGTATGGTATCTTAACTCAATACCCATTCCTCTCATCCACTGTATATAAACTGCTGCTTTATTCATTATTTTTCTATTTTCAGCACTTAGAAAGAACAGAAGTAACCACACTGAGACTGGGGGTGGAAAAGGCTGTGTCATCAGCGAAGCCGAACAGCTTTATTTGAACTTTTTGAAGAATAGAAATAGTAGTACGATCAGTGGTATCAACACTGGTACTGACATTGGTTTTTCCTCCCAAAGTGAGTAATCTGTATTTGTTATAATTGAATACATTAAGCATTGAAAATCCCTCATACAGTGTGTGGCATTCCATTCTTTTACTTGTATAATGACATGGGTATCATGCAGTTGTCTGCGGTGAAATTCAAACCATCAAGGGATCTTTTACGTGCATGTCAATGTGTACATGGGACCTTGGTTTTTTGTACCATCCGAACCACTAGACAGCTATCCTTGTCAGGCCCTCCGACCTGCATCACTGACAAGAGGAAACCACGCCGGAAAATCCTGATGAACTTTCTTGGCCAAATGCAGGGATCGAACACGCAACCTCCAGGCTAGCGAGCCAGCGTCTTACCCACTTATCCACCGTGACCCCCATCCGCATCTTAGGATGTGGAAATTATTTTTAATAAAAGATCTTTATCCAAAGAAACAAACTAAAATTCTATTGGTCCTAATCTTCAAACCATTAGTTCAAACTCATCCACAGCTATGCTCTCTTCCTTTTCAACATTAGATACAGGTAAGTTGAATTTTCAACAATTAGATTTATAATGTAGTTTTCCAGACAAACAGCAGACAGTTTAGTTTATGTAAATTATTTTGTAAACTACCAATTACAAAAACCATAATCTGAAAATAAAGAAAGGAATGAGCTTAAGTAGGAATTTATAACAAAAACATTATAAAAATGAATCAACTCATAAAACTCCTTCCCCACCTGCCTACCCCCCACCCCTAGTCAAAAAGTTTTCACGAAATTAATTTCTTGTGCCTAGTGTTCCATACAATTGTTTTCATATGTGCTTGTCTAACATGTGTTTCATATTTTATTCTCAGACTCAAGTGACATTTTCAGCATTTTCAGCAAAAACCAAGATTCAGGTATGGTTAATATCTTTTCTTAATTACAACTTTCTTAGATATATTTCGAGCTAGAGTAGCCCTGTGGTATTGGCAAACAAAGGTCCATGTGAACCCTGTTCCATCATATTTCTTAGAAACAAGGCCCTGTAAATTCAAAGCCCCCTGAAGTGTGCCCAAAGGATATACATTATTTAACACCATTTACTATGAAGTGGAAGAAAATAATTTAAATTTTCATGTGTAAGCTACTGTGGTTTGCTAATTTGTTCAGTTTTTACTTTTTTCTTGTCGCAGAAAGTACGGAAGCAATTGAAACATGTTCGGCTGTAGCAGCTATAACAAAAGTTGAAGGTTAGTTCTTAATACTATAAAGAAGAAAAATGAAGGTGTTGGAAATACATCTAGATAAAAAATATTTCCAATTTAGTGTAAATGGGTACATGGAAATGAAATGGGGTTTAACGTCCTACTGTTCAAATGAGAACATGAAATCCAATGCTTAAAATGAGTAAAAGTCACTATTCTGCCAGTAAACAAAGCAAGTCTGTGCTGTTACAGATATGTAGACCTATACTGCATGAGACCTTTAATGTCAGTCATCTTGTACAGAGTTACAAGAAGGCTTTCACATTACCGCTGTGAAACAGATTGGTCAATTTGTTTAACAGTATTTCTTAGAATATCAATTGACAAAAGCTCTAATTTATTACTATGTTTTCATTAAGATACAAGTGAAAGAGTTCCTAACACTGCCAGAGCCTTCAAGTCTACCCCAGGTAAGAATTGTTTAATATTTACACACCCTAACGGATTATAACACTTTTGCTTTATTATTAAACATATAAACAAGGAAAAGATTATAAATACAAATATAACAGAGACAAACACACATCTTAATTCATTAACTTAATGGCATGGAATAATATAGGCTCACAGAATTTTTTTTAACAAAATCACTTTGATCTAGTGTAATTGACATGGAACTAAAAAATGTGTGTTTATATATTTCAGATAAAAGAAAGAAGGTGGATTACTACGAACAATTTTTAAAAGAGAACATTAAAGTGCCCAGATTAAAGCAAAGAAAACTTGAATTAGAAATTCAAAGCTTAGAAAGTGAACAATAAAACAAAAGTCATGGTTAAGTGTGTTTATTTATGAAAATGAATAATTTAATGTTTAAAGATGCATTATGTAAGAGCTGAATCTACCTATTGCAGATTTTTATTTTGGCCTTAAATGTTATATAAACTATTATTTAGACATTTATTCACATGACAAGTTTATAATCAAGCCTGTAGCCCATCGAATGAGAGATTTAAACTAATTGAAATGTGATCACGATTTAATTATTTAATTTAAAAAAGGAAAAGTCTTGCTGAGTCTCGATGAACAATTAACGTTGCTACAGTAGTAAACAATATTTGCCACATCCAGTCAAACAGTGATAACTTGGCTCAGAATAAAGTTATTTGAATGAAATTGTCAGTATATTGATTTTGAATTATCTATTTTAAAACTATTATTATAGCAAGAACAACGTTACATAATGCATCTTTAAATATACATTCCCACAAAAGTATTTATGGTGTAGTTATTTCCAATAAAAGTATGGCAATTTTGGGGTATGTGGAGACACCCAATCGTACTAGAAAAATACCCATGGGGCGCACAAGACAAAAATGTGAGGGTATCCCTAAAAGGGTAATCCACTTATTTACATGGGTTTCGATATTAATTTATGGTCAATGGACAGCCAAAGGACAAATGGAAACTAAAAATGGATTCTCTCCCAAACAAGTCACTTATAAACAAAGCTGATTAAAATAAATTCTGGTGGCATGGGGTAGTTTTCTTCTGATTAAAAATATGTGTTTATGTAATATTGGCGTGTTGCCAACCCAGCTTGGGCATCTGGAGCTTCTGCACTAGGCTCCGGGGCATCGTCAACCACCACAAGTGGTTCAAAGTTATCTCTGTTGATAATGGCAATATTATGTAGAACTGCCAACGCATTTATAATAGTCACCGCTCTCTCTTCTGGTGTTACCCTCAATCCAAGTAAAAGACATCTGGAAATTTGAACAACCATATAAATACATGAATTGACTTGGGTGAAAATATATCATGGTAAAACAGATGCTAAACTGTCAAGTAAAATCATGTTATAGTAAACGTCAGTTATGGAACCTAATGTCATATAAGTAATAGATTAAAATTAAACTTATTAAAGCTACACTCTACTCTATACTAACCCAAATCGATTTTTCAGAATCCCAAAAGCCTGCTCAATTTTAACCCTTGTCTTGCAGTGAGCGATGTTATATCTATCCTCCGGTTGCCCATGAGGACCCAAAACAGGCGTCAAAAGATAAGGCCTATTTGGGTAGCCAGAATCACCAAGAAGGATTCCTAATAAAATAAAAAATAAATTGTATCACTGAAACAGGCACAAATTTGATGGCTATCTGTATTAAGTTTAAAGTTACAATTTCATATTTTTAAGTTATATTTTTAAAATGTATTAAAATAAAGCCCTAAAATAGATGGTATCTATAAACAGTCCTACCTTGTTAAAAAATAATACTAGAATTCACTATTGCCAGTTGAGAAATTAGCAAAAATATCATTTTCCACTTCAAATTCAAACGTTTGAAGATAGCTATTCCATGGTGGGGAATAGGAAAACAAGGGAGGGAATTGTGTTATTTCCGGTGTGAAGATTTTTAAGTTTGAGAAAGATAACCTATGATCGTATAATGGTGAGTTGACAACCTATTGAGCAAAAGACATAGAAATAATTATGTTTTGACTTTCTTAGAAAATATGAAATTGTAACTTTAAGACTTACCATTTGACATGTGGGTCAACAAAGCTGATTCATTAAAAATTCTAGCATCGTGACAACCTCCAGGCCATTTGGCAACAACACTAGAAAATCTATGATCGGGCAGACAAGTGAACTGAAAATATCAAGAGATTCTTTAAATCTAAGAGAACGTCATAACAAAAGAGAAAGCTTGGGTTTAATTTGAGTAACTGGAAATAATTGTATTAATTTTTCATCTCTACACCATAGTCAGACGTGAATATATAATACCGGTAAATATACTATTCAAAAAAAGTAGGGGATATTTGATTTTGGGGGCATAATACTAAAATATGCAAATGACTACGAAAAAAGTCACTATAGAACCTAACAGAAGAAACATTTCCAGTTACATGTGACGCCCAAACGCACCAATAGCTACCGCGTGGAATGCATGTGATGCTTGGGATCATCATGGGGGTCCAACCCAAGATTTGCACGACTCTGACTTTGAATGTTACAGTCATTGTGGCATTGAATTCCAGGGTGGAAACATCAGTTTAATTGTTATAGTGACCAGAAAACAAATTTTGATATGCGTCGGCTTACCCAAAATGAAAGGTTACGTGCCCTTGGCATGCTACAGATCGGCACAACACAGGCGGTTGTGGCGCGGACGATGAATGTTTCTCAGTCTGTCATAAGCAGGCTATGGTCCAGATACCGTGATACACAATATGTACAGGACAGACCACGCTCAGGTCGACCAAGGGCGACAACTGAAGCCCAGGATTGATTTATCCGTACCTTGGCCTTGAGAAATCGTGTCATCACAGCAAATCAGATCAGCGCTCGTCTTCAAACAGACACTGGTGTGAGAGTGAGTGGCCAGACGATTCGGAATCGACTGCATAGGGGTCACCTTCGCGCCCGACTTCCTCGCGTGATCCCTTGTTTGAGAGATCATCACATTCAGGCAAGACGTCGTTGGTGTAGGGATCGTCAACACTGGGATAATCGACGCTGGAGCAATGTGATGTTTTCAGATGAGTCAAGGTTCACTGTTGATTTTTTGGACAGACGTAGGAGGGTGTGGCGTCGTCGAAACGAGCGCTTCCAAGACGTTAACGTCATCATACATGATCGATTTGGGGGTGGTTCTGTTATGGTGTGGGGAGGCATCACTGTTGCTGGAAGAACGGCTTGAAATGTTGTTGCAGGGCGTGTTACAGGCCAGTACTACCGGGACAACATCTTGGCAGTCCATGTTGTGCCGTTCGCACGACGTCATGGCCGCCGTTTCATCTTCCAGGATGACAACGCAAGATGTCACAGGGCCAGGATCGTTACAGGTTACCTCCAACAACAGAACATCACCACATTACCTTGGCCAGCACTGAGTCCCGACCTCTCCCCCATCGAGCATGTCTGGGACATGCTTGGACAGAGGTTACGTCAACGTCAACAACGTCCTGCCAATGTCCAAGAACTTGCTGCTGCGTTGCAACAGGAATGGGACAATCTGGACCAAAATGACCTTAGACGTCTCATTAGGAGTATGCCACGTCGGATCAATGCTTGTTTGGCAAACAGAGGAGGATTTACCCGTTACTGACTTGGTTGTGATGCTGTGGTAACTTTGCTGTTTGACCCCGGGTATCATTTCACCCTTATAATGGTCAGTCTGTGCCTTACTTAGTCTAACGATCATTTGGAATAAATCGATGAATGTGAACTTCATTTCATTTTGTCATTTGTTTCTTCGTCAGTTTCATTAGGTGACTTTAATAACACTTAAAAATCAAATATCCCCTACTTTTTTTGAATAGTATAGATAAATTTTTAAATAACTACCTGTGCATTGATGGACGGGTACCCTTTTCTGCAGATAAACTCTTGGCTGTTTACAGATGGCTTCTTTATTCTTATCAGACATCCATCAATGCAGCCAATTACATTAGGGAACCCTTATTAAAGAAATATAAAACAATGTAAGTAGACGTTAAGTTGAAATCGACTTAAATAGGCCTAAATGATATGGGCATATTTTTTTTAATATATAGGTCTGGGAAGAACATTTTTAACAAGGATAAAATAAATGACAAACGCCTAGACAGACGTAGGGGTAACTATATTATCTTTAAATGAGAATAGATATATCCGTTTTACCTGCAATTCTAAAAAATCATCGTTTTACGTCTTCTTCTTCTGCCTCTTTCGGAAAAGTTATAAATTGGTTGGCCACGGCCTATAGTGCCAAACTTACGGCCTGTACACACCTACATACAGTGGACTTGGAAATATTTAGTGTGCCGGCCACAACAGATTGATATGATCCACTTGCATAAAAACGTAAAGCTATCACAACCTGAAGCATTACAGGCATTGCCTTGGACCTCTTAGTAGGGTGTTGAAGCTGGTCTTGAATAATATCGCATATATAATATACGGTTGCCGGCCAAAATCTATATGTGTCGCGTATTACCGTTTCTGGAAAATTTTCCAAAAGGTTAAATTGGCATTTAAACACCCTTTCTCTTCGCAAAGCCCGATTTTGTTGGATAGCAACAAAATTGGCAGCCATTGTGATTTTAAGTTAGGACAGCCTTCTGCTTATCTGAACTTAAAATCAATTTTAGTTAAAACTGACCCTAAAATAGTTTTGTGAAACGCCACTATTTTAAGTTAGGATACAATTGTAACTTACAATATTATTTTAGGGGATCTTAGCTAAAATGCTTAAAATCGTTTTGTGAAATGCATCTATCTTAAGTTAGGATGGAATTTTAGTTTAAGACGATTTTAAGGAGATTTAAGTTTTTGTGAAACAGGGCCCAAGGAATTATGTGATTATGTTCTAAATGTGTTTATTTGTGTCCCTGGCCACGAAAACATGGGTTTGGATACAATTTCTACCAAATTTGAACATTTGATAGCCAAATTATAGCATATTACGCAATTTGACCCATTTCCACCAAAAATATTCTGGAACATTTTTGGGATGTTGTTTAGGGGACTATACTGAAATGCATCCCAGTGAAATTAAATCTGTTGCAATTTGTTTTGGGTCTAACCCCAGATTGACTGAACTATTTGATTGCTCGATACTTTTGAAAAAAATAGATGTGCGATTAATTAATATGTGTCATCTATTTATTTGGGGATTTCGGCCTCACTGTTGGCTTGTTATATAATGTATACTATCAGAGTGCATGCTTTTCACATGAAACTGTTCTTTGCCGATTTATATGTCTTCCCAATATATTTGTATTAAGATTAAAGTGTGTTTGGTTCCCTTCTTTCAACAACTAATACGATTCAGAAACTCGGATACAATAATCAACCTTTCTTGGTCGATTAATCAAATTCTGTCCCCAAAAAGCCGACATCGCTCTTCGGTTTATTGTGAACGGAAGTCGTACCAGTATAATAAACAAATTCCAGGTCAATTAATTCAGACCGCATATTGCAGACTTTACATCGTATCCGTTTCATGTGTAGTACGAGAGCACAAGTTCCATGACCATTTGTCACCAACTTGACTAGCTTATTCTATTTACAAAAGCATGCAATCAGCTTTGGAAATTAGTTTGGTGTCACTCTAAAACAACTTAAAAATTTCTTTTGTTATTTCTGTCGCTTTATTTAAAAAGATTTTGTGATTTTGTTTTTACTGATAATAGTCCCACGCCTTTCGAAGAAAGCAGGAGACTATTAAAATGGGCCTGTCTGTCCGTCACATTTTTTTGGACACAATAACTCTCCTTCTAATTGAGCTAGAATGTCGAAACTTAGTGTAGGTGTTTATTAGGCCAATGTCTTGATGGAGTTCAAAGATGGGCATTTTCTGCTTAAGGTAAGCAGAGATAAGCAATTTGGTTGGTTGATGCTTCTGGACATGATAATTTTAGTTTTTTTTAAGTGAGAGTGATGAAACTAAGTGTATAGTTTCATTACATCAATACCTTGACTAAGTTTGATAATGAACATTTTCTGCTCAGGGTAAGCACGGCGATAAGCAATTTGATTGGCCAAGATTTTGGAACACAATAACTCTCCATCTAATTGAGCTAGAACGTTCCAACTTGGTGTAGAAGTTTATTAGGTAAATGCCTTGATGGAGTTTGAAGATGAGCATTTTCTGCTTAGGGTAAGCAGAGATAAACAATTTGATTGGTTGATGCTTTGGGACACAATAACTTTAGTTCTAATTAAGTGATAGTGATGAAATTTGGTGTATAGTTTTATTACATCAATACCATCACTGCTCAGGGTAAGCAGAGCGATAAGCAGTTTGATTGGTTGAGACTTTGGAACACAATAACTCTCATTCTACAGTATTTGAGCTAGAATGTTCACATGTGTTTATTAGGTGAATGCTTTGATCGAGTTCGAAGATGAGAATTTTCTGCTTAGGGTAAGCAGAGATAAGCAATTTGATTGGTTGCTGATTTGGGACATGATAACTTTAGTTCTAATTTATGTGAGAGTGAGGACACTTTGTGTATAGTTTTATCCCATCAATACCTTGTCTAAGTTCGATAATGAGCATTTTCTGCTCAGGGTAAACAGAGCGATAAGCAATTTGATTGGTCGAGATTTTGGAACACAATAGGTGAATGCCTTGATGGATTTCGATGATAAACATTATCTGCTTACGGTAAGCAGAGATAAGAAATCTGATTGGTTGATGCTTTGGGGCTTCGCTTGTGTTTTCTTAAGTGAGCTAGAACAAATAATGTTAAATAAAGTCTTCGATCGGTTTATAAATGATATCTATATGGAAATTCTAAACTACAAGAATTCCTACAGCTGATGAACAGTTTCCATAAAATATATAAATTCACAGCCGAACACTCCACGGATAAGGTGTCCTTCCTGGACACCCTACTAAGCTTTGACCGCCACAAGAAGAAACCACGTTTGACCTGTTCTGCAAACCGACAGACACACACTCTTAGTTATTCTACACTTCATGTCACCCACGATCAAAGACCCCACACCCTTACCACAAGTAAGCAGGAAAAGTTACAAGTATTTAGAATCCACCTGTAACTATCCCTAATGCAATTATTGCAATATGTTAAAAGGAAAGAAAACATTTTGTTCTAGCAAAACAGGCAAATCTTATAATTGCCCTAGCAAATACTTGGACACAGTAAAAAATGTTATTTACCTACTTACTTGCAACCTATGCCACAAACAATACGTTGGTGAAACTAAAAAAAACTTGTTTCGTATTAGACTGAAGGAACACTATGCTGATATTACCCACAAAAGAGACATCCCAGTTGCCTCCACTTCCAACCCTGACCTCCCCAAATAGACGCACCATAGAACTACACTGGATCATTAGATTGAAAACTTTTCAACCATACGGTATCAATGACAAAATCTGAACTTGGGCCCCTCCCTCCCCCCATCATTTTTTCTTTGTGCACCATAACTTTGGTTTTAATTAAGTGAGAGTGATGAAACTCTGAGTATAGATTCATTATATCATTACCTTGACAAAGTTCGATGGTGAGAATTTTCTGCTTAGGCTAAGGATCAATAAACAATTTGATTGGTCAAGACTTTGGAACATAACAACATAACTATCAAATAATTAAACAATTAGGTTCCAACCCTGACCTCCCCAAATGTACTACCAATAGACACACCATAGAACTACACTGGATCATTAGATTGAAAACATTTCCATCATATGGTATCAATGACAAAATCTGAACTTGGGCCCCCCCCCCCCCCCAACATTTTTTCTTTGTGCACGATAACTTTGGTTTTAATTAAGTGAGAGTGATGAAACCCTGAGAATGTCCTCGCCTGGCTAGTCGATGCTTGCCTTTTTTGCCTAATACTAACACAGTTGTTATTTTTATTTTTTTCGCTGTGAGATGTCGACAAAAGGAAGACAACGTCGGGTGAATGCAGGTAGGAATATGACAGATATAATCAAGTCATTGGAGGATCATCAGTCAGACAGCGAAGGGGAACTAAGCTTAATAGACAAACACGCGGACAAACAGTCGAGAAAATCTGGCGTCATGGCGAACAGTAGTGACACAGCAGTGTGGGACCCACAGACATCTGTAGTATCTCAGATAGAAACTGGAGACACCGCTTAATGAATCCGAATTATTAGAGCAAAAGGTTGCCGAACCTGCTAATCGAGCGAGTACGTTGATCAAGACAACAGGTGAGCTCTCCCACTTACTAGCCTTTGCAATCGGACATTGTACAGGCCGTCTCGACCCGCTCCAGCAATAAGTTGTCTGCAAAACCTAAAGCCCTTCAGATCCTTGATTACATATGGGTCGATCCAGTTCCCCAGTACAGCACATATACCTTTGGTTCAGAGCTAGAATTCCGGGTCGCCAAAGGAAAAACATTGGATAAAGTGTCAATGGAGGAATGGGGGTATGCTAATACCTCCATTCTACTGGACCTGATTAAAACTGAAAGCATTGGACAGGAAGATATCGTCTCTTACCTAAAATATACAGCAGACATACATCGTTTGTTATCAAAATTTCATTGGTATTCAGTCTTACTTTACAATAAGGAGTACCGTGAAAAACAAGCAGCTGAAGGTTTTAATTGGGGGACACATCGCTAGGATCTCAGCAAATTCCAACTAGTCCCAAAACGGGACCACTCAACAGCTAGAGCTAATCAAGAAGCAAACATTACAACCAACCCATATACCAAAACCAGACTCTATCCATACCGATCACCTGTGCCTCAGCATTCGCATTTTAATCAGCCATCATCTCGTAATAGAGGTCCATTCTTGCCGGATGGTCGGGAGATCTGTCGAAATTTTAATCATAATTTGTGTAATAGAATTGAATGTAGGATGGTCCATTGTTGTGCCATTTGTTGGTCACCCAAACATTCGGCTTTATCAGGTCATCAGAGTGGCAACACCGTGTCAAAAAAACCCAAACATAGGTTGTGCTGAGTCATCTCCACTATCGTCATAAGTCTGAGAAATTAACTGCTTAGATTACTCAGTGTGGCAAGTTTTATTATCGGATGACTATTGCGATGAAATAGTACTCTTGGACGGCATAGCCAATGGTTTTGTTTTATCTAATATGTATGGCCCCCATGTGCCTGTGAAGAGAGACCATTATTCATCCGCTTATCAATTACGAGATAAAGTTGAGGCACAAATAAAAACTGAAATTGCTCTTGGTAACTATATTTTAACAAGGACTAAGCCTACTATTGTTAGTTCAATGGGGGCAATTCCAAAACCAGATGGGGGAGTTCGACTCATTCATGACGCTAGTCGACCATAGGGCATCTCTTTAAACAGTTATGCTAGTGACAGTCCCTGCAGCTATATGGATCTGCATAACGCGATAAAGTTGATCAAACCTTCCAGCTGGCTTGTAAAAGTCAACCTAAAATGTGCGTATAGAACAGTAA